TTCTTGTTCTTGTTCTTGTTCTTGTTCTTGTTCTTGTTCTTGTTTGAGATGGCGCATGATATCTCCTTCTTGTGTTTTAAAACTTGAATTACTCCACAGCTAGGAAGTTGGTCTCAGTAGCGGTACATGATCATTTCCCAGCGGCTCATTCTTGGTAGCGGTACATGAGCATTTCCCAGCGGCTCATTTTTGGTGATCCCATACTGCATCCGATATCTCAACATGTATCTCTCGAAACTATTATGATAACTACTTATTGACCACAGAAATTAATGGAGCACGAAGACGCCTGGCCGTTCCTGGAGCCCGTAGATCACGTCAAAATGAACATTCCCACCTACCCGATGTTGGTCCGGAATCCGATGGATCTAGGCACAATCAAGACCAAACTGGACAAGAAGCAGTATCCAGACCACATCGCATACTGCCTGGATGTGCGACTGGTGTTCAACAACGCCTGGACCTTCAACAAAAAGACCCACCGCGTGCACAAGCTGTGTACATCCCTGAATGCAGCGTTTGACGAGTTGATCACGGACAAGCTGGCACAGTTAAAGTACTGCTGCAACGGGCAAAAACGTACCTACGTTCCCGTGCCTCTGTACTGCAGTGGGTTAGTGTGCGCCGGTATGGGTGTGATACCACGCAATACGTTATACTACATGCACACCACTGCACTGGGCAAACCGTACAATCTGTGCTCAAAGTGCTGGAACGACTATGACCCCCTACTGGACGGCCCTGGTCCTTTGGGAGTAGCGAACAATCCCAATTCAACCACAGCTGTGTCTGACGAGGGTGTCGGAGGTGTGCAGCAGATCATGCTGCTCGACGAGTTTAATCAGCAATTCACGGCCGCCAAGGCTGACTTTGAGGAGAAGACAAATAACGAGCTCGAAGAGGAGCCGTACGAGGCCTGTTACGGGTGCGGCATGCGGGTGCATCGGGTGTGTCGCATGTTTAACCGGAATGCCGAGAAGTACCTGTTCTGCGAATTGTGCAGACAGGACCGCAGCGGGACGCTCAAGCAACCGGCATTCGAGAGGTTCACTGCTGAGAAGCTGCCCAGTACCAAGCTGTCTGACTTTATCCAGAAGCGTGTGAATAAGATGATTGACGACAACGAGAAGAAGGATGTGGACAAGGCGAATGCCACCAAGGTCAAGAAAGAGCCTGGCGCAGATGCAGTGGGCGATGATAAATATTTAGAGTACAAGGAGGGACGGATCTGTGTCAGAATGATCCACAACACGGTGAAAACGTATGTGTCTGGCCCTCTCATGACGCAGAGATACCCACAGTCACCCCCAGAGTTTCCCTACAGGCATAGAGGACTTCTTTTCTTCCAGAAGGTATAGTGTTATTTGTGAGTGTCCTTTGGGTATTTCTTCTTCTTGTGAGTTTGTATTGTGATCCATATGTAGCCACACAAGGGTGTATTCTTACGTATGAATGTATTGATACAAATGTACACAAATATGCACATACCCATTCATACACGCTCACCCCGATACAGCTACATATACAAATCCATATATGCCTCATCCTAATCACTTTTGCCATATACTTCCAATTTTAACAGATCGAAGGTAACGATGTGGCGTTCTTTGCCATGCACGTGCAAGAGTTTGGGTCGGAATGCCCTGAACCCAACCGTAACCGCGTGTACCTGTCGTATATCGATAGTGTCAATTATTTCCGGCCTAAGGATATAAGGACATCGGTAAGCACCATCTTCGTGTGGCTTTGTGTAGGCTAAACTAGTTTGCTCGCGTGTGTCATCTCAGAACAAAGCAAGGCAACAGCATTGGCACTATGCGTCATGGGTTGAAATTGTCATATGCGTAAGCATGCGTCTCTCCGATCTATGATATTGCGAGCAAATAGTTTGTGCTGTTTTCATCTATGCGAGAATGAGCACTCATCTCAATGGCCTCGTCTCTCTTAATTTATCCGGATTGCATGCGTGCATGTGTATGCTGTTATCTACGCAGCAGCTGTCTGTCGTGTCCTTGTAGTAATAAATCAGGTTATTACGGGTGTATGTCTACTTTGGATGTCACGCCGAGTCAGCCGGCTTGTACAAAACGAGAGCCTTGCGAGGGCTCCGGTTTTATAGTCCGATGCTTATTCTTGCTACCATCGATGGCAGTATTCTTTTTTTTGTTTTGTCTTTGTATAGAATACAGTAAATACAATATATATAC